AACAATTTCCTCCCATAGTAGTCTCCCTTGGTCCCTATCTAAGTTTGGGGGACGGTATATCACTCCTAAAATCAGTTTTTCATGCCCTTCTGAAAATTCTATCCAAACAGACTCTGTATGTGTTACTTCAGACTTAATACCCGTTTTTATGCAACAGTTCAAGCGATCTCGGACATACAATGCCACCCCACCCCCCTTCCCGATACTTCTATCTACTTGGAACAATTTAAAACCCTGAATATGACATTCTGCAAGCATGTCCCGACTTTTTGAATTAACCACGTCTCAGTTAAGGCAAATACATCAATGTTACCTGCACTAGCAACTAATCTCAACTCGTCCATCTTATTCCTAGCACTACGGCAATTAGCATAATAAACATTGAAAGACTCTCCTTTCTCTTTACCCTTCCTGCTCATTTCTGTTTTTCTACTAAACCTATTACTGTCCTTATCACCCAAAGTCCCTGGCTTTTCAATATCTACCTCGTTCTGCTTATTACTAGTTCCCCTAGAACTCGTAATATTACTACACTGGGACTTCACTGTTTTCCTGCCAAAACCCATACCACTAACTATTCCTAGTTTAAAGTCCTAACTGCTCCCTCCACTGCAGTTGCCAGTGCTACCACCCCAGACCAAGATAAGTGAACCCCATCCCTGGCATGCATGTCATTTCTGCCATAGAAGAGGTCCCAGTTGTCAACGAATGTTACCGCATTTTCCTTACAGTATTTGTCCAGCCAGCAATTGACACCAATTGCCCTGGACAACCATTCGTTTCCAACTCCTCTCCTTGGCAAAATACCACATATGACAGGGTTCCCACCCTTACTCCTAATTATTTCTATTGCTGACCTATACCTGCTAATCAGGTCTTCACTCCTACGTCTGCCAACATCGTTGCCTCCAGCACTGAGACAGATAATAGGATTGCTCCCATTACCTCTCATGATGTCATCAAGACGGCTAACAATATCCTCCATCCCAGCCCCAGGAAAGCAAACTCTCTGTCTCCTACTCCTGTCCTTCAAGCAGAACGCCCTATCCATATACCTAACTTGGCTATCCCAAACAACAACAATATTCTTACCTTCCTAGATGTCGTTCGTCGTGACGTTCCCAGTAGTCGACTCACATTCGTCGGGTAGCACTGAGAATGTATTAGATGTTTCCACAACAGTTTCCACGGCAGTCACTTTCTTCTTCATCGTTTCTACCTTTCCATTCGTCTTCTTGATCGTCAACTTCGTTCCCTGCTGTCCAGCCATTGACCAGTTTCCCTTCTTGTCCTGAGGACTCAAAACAGGAGGACTACTACGAATCTTCTTGTTTTCCTCGGTCAGTCACCGAATCTCCATCTTCGCCAACCTCAATTCTTCCTTAAGCTGTTGGTAAAGTTGCTCGATGGAGGGCATCTTGCTTCAATTCGTAGAGAGCGCGCAAACAGGTCTTCACAGAGCTAAGTACACGTCAACACTGCGCAAAAGCCAACTCAATCAGGAGCTACTGCGCAGCACGTCCGCACGGCGGCCCAATAGCGATACGAACTTATTGAACTTCCATGCTCTCATATTATTGAACTTCCATGGTCTCGTGTTATTGAACCTTCATGGTCTCATATTATTGAACTTTCATGCTCTCGTATTATTGAACTTCCATGCTCTCGTGTTATTGAACTTCCATGCTCTCGTGTTATTGAACTTCCATGGTCTCGTGTTATTGAACTTCCATGCTCTCGTGTTATTGAACTTCCATGGTCTCGTGTTATTGAACTTTCATGCTCTCGTATTATTGAACTTCCATGCTCTCGTATTATTGAACTTCCATGCTCTCGTATTATTGAACTTCCATGTTCTTGTATTATTGAACTTTCATGCTCTCGTATTATTGAACTTCCATGCTCTCGTATTATTGAACTTCCATGGTCTCGTATTATTGAACTTCCATGATCTCGTATTATTGAACTTCCATGCTCTCGTATTATTGAACTTCAATGCTCTTGTATTATTGAACTTCCATGTTCTTGTATTATTGAACTTCAATGGTCTTGTATTATTGAACTTCCATGCTCTCGTATTATTGAACTTCCATGATCTCGTATTATTGAACTTCCATGGTCTTGTATTATTGAACTTCCATGCTCTTGTATTGTTGAACTTCCATGCTCTCGTATTATTGAACTTCCATGGTCTCGTATTATTGAACTTCCATGCTCTCGAATTATTGAACTTCCATGTTCCTGTATTATTGAACTTCCATGGTCTCGTATCATTGAACTTCCATGCTCTCGTATTATTGAACTTCCATGTTCTTGTATTATTGAACTTCCATGGTCTCGTATTATTGAACTTCCATGCTCTCGTATTATTGAACTTCCATGTTCTTGTATTATTGAACTTCCATGGTCTCGTATTATTGAACTTCCATGCTCTCGTATTATTGAACTTCCATGTTCTTGTATTATTGAACTTCCATGCTCTCGTATTATTTAACTTCCATGGTCTTGTATTATTGAACTTCCATGTTCTTGTATTATTGAACTTCCATGCTCTCGTATTATTGAACTTCCATGGTCTTGTATTATTGAACTTCCATGCTCTCGTATTATTGAACTTGTATGTTCTCGTATTATTGAACTTCCATAGTCTTGTATTATTGAACTTCCATGTTCTTGTATTATTGAACTTCCATGCTCTCGTATTATTGAACTTCCATGGTCTTGTATTATTGAACTTCCATGCTCTCGTATTATTGAACTTCCATGGTCTTGTATTATTGAACTTCGATGCTCTCGTATTATTGAACTTCCATGGTCTTGTATTATTGAACTTACATGCTCTCGTATTATTGAACTTCCATGTTCTTGTATTATTGAACTTCCATGGTCTTGTATTATTGAACTTCCATGCTCTCGTATTATTGAATTTCCATGGTCTTGTATTATTGAACTTCCATGGTCTTGTATTATTGAACTTCCATGGTCTTGTATTATTGAACTTCCATGCTCTTGTATTAGTGAACTTCCATGTTTTTGTATTATTGAACTTCCATGTTCTCGTATTATTGAACTTCCATGGTCTGGTATTATTGAACTTCCATGTTCTTGTATTATTGAACTTCCATGCTCTCGTATTATTGAACTTCCATGGTCTTGTATTATTGAACTTCCATGCTCTCATATTATTGAACTTCCATAGTCTTGTATTATTGAACTTCCATGCTCTCGTATTATTGAACTTCCATGGTCTTGTATTATTGAACTTCCATGCTCTCGTATTTTTGAACTTCCATGTTCTTGTATTATTGAACTTCCATGGTCTTGTATTATTGAACTTCCATGCTCTCGTATTATTGAACTTCCATGGTCTTGTATTATTGAACTTCCATGGTCTTGTATTATTGAACTTCCATGGTCTTGTATTATTGAACTTCCATGGTCTTGTATTATTGAACTTCCATGTTCTTGTATTATTGAACTTCCATGTTCTTGTATTATTGAACTTCCATGGTCTTGTATTATTGAACTTCCATGGTCTTGTATTATTGAACTTCCATGCTCTCGTATTATTGAACTTCCATGGTCTTGTATTATTGAACTTCCATGGTCTTGTATTATTGAACTTCCATGGTCTTGTATTATTGAACTTCCATGGTCTTGTATTATTGAACTTCCATGTTCTTGTATTATTGAACTTCCATGTTCTTGTATTATTGAACTTCCATGTTCTTGTATTATTGAACTTCCATGTTCTTGTATTATTGAACTTCCATGTTCTTGTATTATTGAACTTCCATGTTCTTGTATTATTGAACTTCCATGTTCTTGTATTATTGAACTTCCATGTTCTTGTATTATTGAACTTCCATGTTCTTGTATTATTGAACTTCCATGTTCTTGTATTATTGAACTTCCATGTTCTTGTATTATTGAACTTCCATGTTCTTGTATTATTGAACTTCCATGTTCTTGTATTATTGAACTTCCATGTTCTTGTATTATTGAACTTCCATGTTCTTGTATTATTGAACTTCCATGTTCTTGTATTATTGAACTTCCATGTTCTTGTATTATTGAACTTCCATGTTCTTGTATTATTGAACTTCCATGTTCTTGTATTATTGAACTTCCATGTTCTTGTATTATTGAACTTCCATGTTCTTGTATTATTGAACTTCCATGTTCTTGTATTATTGAACTTCCATGTTCTTGTATTATTGAACTTCCATGTTCTTGTATTATTGAACTTCCATGTTCTTGTATTATTGAACTTCCATGTTCTTGTATTATTGAACTTCCATGTTCTTGTATTATTGAACTTCCATGCTCTTGTATTATTGAACTTCCATGTTCTTGTATTATTGAACTTCCATGCTCTTGTATTATTGAACTTCCATGCTCTTGTATTATTGAACTTCCATGCTCTTGTATTATTGAACTTCCATGTTCTTGTATTATTGAACTTCCATGTTCTTGTATTATTGAACTTCCATGTTCTTGTATTATTGAACTTCCATGCTCTTGTATTATTGAACTTCCATGCTCTTGTATTATTGAACTTCCATGTTCTTGTATTATTGAACTTCCATGCTCTTGTATTATTGAACTTCCATGTTCTTGTATTATTGAACTTCCATGTTCTTGTATTATTGAACTTCCATGCTCTTGTATTATTGAACTTCCATGGTCTTGTATTATTGAACTTCCATGCTCTTGTATTATTGAACTTCCATGCTCTTGTATTATTGAACTTCCATGCTCTTGTATTATTGAACTTCCATGTTCTTGTATTATTGAACTTCCATGCTCTTGTATTATTGAACTTCCATGTTCTTGTATTATTGAACTTCCATGCTCTTGTATTATTGACATTTGTCTTGATAAAACTCGTGGGGAGACAATGGTTGTCACAATAACATCACAGTCGCTGCTCTGGTCTTTTACCTCAGAAAGTTTAACCAATTTTGTCATCATCTCTGATTGATTAATTTATTCCGTAGCTGTGACCAGGTCTGACTTCCGTAGCTGTCACCAGGTCTGACTTCCGTAGCTGTGACTAGGTCTGACTTCCGTAGCTGTGACCAGTTCTGACTTCCGTAGCTGTGACTAGGTCTGACTTCCGTAGCTGTGACCAGGTCTGACTTCCGTAGCTGTGACTAGGTCTGACTTCCGTAGCTGTGACCAGGTCTGACTTCCGTAGCTGTGACTAGGTCTGACTTCCGTAGTTGTGACCAGGTCTGACTTCCGTAGCTGTGACCAGGTCTGACTTCCGTAGCTGTGACCAGGTCTGACTTCCGTAGCTGTGACCAGGTCTGACTTCCGTAGCTGTGACCAGGTCTGACTTCCGTAGTTGTGACCAGGTCTGACTTCCGTAGTTGTGACTAGGTCTGACTTCCGTAGCTGTGACCAGGTCTGACTTCCGTAGCTGTGACTAGGTCTGACTTCCGTAGCTGTGACCAGGTCTGACTTCCGTAGCTGTGACCAGGTCTGACTTCCGTAGCTGTGACCAGGTCTGACTTCCGTAGCTGTGACCAGGTCTGACTTCCGTAGCTGTGGCCAGGTCTGACTTCCGTAGCTGTGACCAGGTCTGACTTCCGTAGCTGTGACCAGGTCTGACTTCCGTAGCTGTGACCAGGTCTGACTTCCGTAGCTGTGACCAGGTCTGACTTCCGTAGCTGTGACCAGGTCTGACTTCCGTAGCTGTGACCAGGTCTGACTTCCGTAGCTGTGACCAGGTCTGACTTCCGTAGCTGTGACCAGGTCTGACTTCCGTAGCTGTGACCAGGTCTGACTTCCGTAGCTGTGACCAGGTCTGACTTCCATAGTTGTGACCAGGTCTGACTTCCGTAGCTGTGACCAGGTCTGACTTCCGTAGTTGTGACCAGGTCTGACTTCCGTAGCTGTGACCAGGTCTGATTTCCATAGCTGTGACCAGGTCTGACATCATGAGTCCCCCTTGGTAATCTTTTACTCTAATACTGTTACTACCTGGAGTTTACCTGGAGAGAGTTCCGGGGGTCAACGCCCCCGCGGCCCGGTCTGTGACCAGGCCTCCTGGTGGATCAGAGCCTGATGAACCAGGCTGTTGCTGCTGGCTGCACGCAAACCAACGTACGAGCCACAGCCCGGCTGATCAGGAACTGACTTTAGGTGCTTGTCCAGTGCCAGCTTGAAGACTGCCAGGGGTCTGTTGGTAATCCCCCTTATGTGTGCTGGGAGGTAGTTGAACAGTCTCGGGCCCCTGACACTTATTGTATGGTCTCTTAACGTGCTAGTGACACCCCTGCTTTTCATTGGGGGGATGGTGCATCGTCTGCCAAGTCTTTTGCTTTCGTAGTGAGTGATTTTCGTGTGCAAGTTCGGTACTAGTCCCTCTAGGATTTTCCAGGTGTATATAATCATGTATCTCTCCCTCCTGCGTTCCAGGGAATACAGGTTTAGGAACCTCAAGCGCTCCCAGTAATTGAGGTGTTTTATCTCCGTTATGCGCGCCGTGAAAGTTCTCTGTACATTTTCTAGGTCGGCAATTTCACCTGCCTTGAAAGGTGCTGTTAGCTAAAGCTAAAGCTAAAGCTCCCGCTTCACACACGGAGGGCCCGGGTTCGATTCCCGGCGGGTGGAAACATTTCGACACGTTTCCTTACACCTGTTGTCCTGTTCACCTAGCAGCAAATAGGTACCTGGGTGTTAGTCGACTGGTGTGGGTCGCATCCTGGGGGACAAGATTAAGGACCCCAATGGAAATAAGTTAGACAGTCCTCGATGACGCACTGACTTTCTTGGGTTATCCTGGGTGGCTAACCCTCCGGGGTTAAAAATCCGAACGAAATCTTATCTTATCTTATCTTCCACGTAATATTATATACATTTACTCTAATATCACTTAAATCTACTTGATTCAGGAGGTTCGCAGTGTGAGATGGTCGTATCTGGACGACAACAGTCGTAGTCAGGGTCAGCGGGTTTTAAGAGGTATAATTTTCTACGTCTCTGCTGGACGCAACGCTATTGTTGTTATTATTGCTTCTGTCATCGCCTATGGCCTTGACGGGGATAGACAGCCATTTACAATTTCAGGTGAGATGCTGTTGTGATGATTTCAAACACTGTTCTGTCGATATTATTTATGTATTTATATATCATAGATATTACAGACTTCATTGATGATAAAATAATTCAACTGTATTCTTATCACAGAACAGGTTGAGCTCGAACCCATGGCAGGCGAGTTCTGAAACTCAAAGACCAAGGTTCAAGTCTCACCCGTGAGTCATAATTGCATTCTCTCTCTGTAGTAGCAGAAAATTCCCCGGAAATACCTGAATATTTATTCTATTTAGGTTTATTTGTTCAAGTGGTCCCTTATGTTCCTGCAATGATTGTGAAAGTATAGCAAGAAAGAGGAGTATACCTGGAGTATACCTGGAGTATACCTGGAGTATACATGGAGAGAGTTCCGGGGCTCAATGCCCCCGCTGTCCTGTCTGTGAACAGGCCTCATGGACCAAGAATGTCACTAAACTCACTCTTCTCAACGCCACAGAAGGAAGCACATCCAGATATTACATTCCAGCACTGTAGAATCTTGCCAGACACTGACATTAGTATCAGTGGCCTTATAAGAATCTTCCCTGATATTAACACCAGGATCCCTGGCTTTGAAGAATTATCAAATATTATAATTACTATCAATGTCCTTGAAAATCCTTACCAGTCACTAACTTCAGATTCCCTCACTGAGGAGAACCTTGCCAGACACTACCGTCAGGATAGCTCGCCTTAGTGACCCTTGCTAGACACTAACGTCAGGATAGCTCGCCTTAGTGACCCTTGCCAGACACTAACGTCAGGATAGCTCGCCTTAGTGACCCTTGCTAGACACTAACGTCAGGATAGCTCGCCTTAGTGACCCTTGCCAGACACTAACGTCAGGATAGCTCGCCTTAGTGACCCTTGCTAGACACTAACGTCAGGATAGCTCGCCTTACTGACCCTTGCTAGACACTAACGTCAGGATAGCTCGCCTTAGTGACCCTTGCTAGACACTAACGTCAGGATAGCTCGCCTTAGTGACCCTTGCCAGACACTAACGTCAGGATAGCTCGCCTTAGTGACCCTTGCCAGACACTAACGTCAGGATAGCTCGCCTTAGTGACCCTTGCCAGACACTAACGTCAGGATAGGTCGCCTTACTGACCCTTGCTAGACACTAACGTCAGGATAGCTCGCCTTAGTGACCCTTGCCAGACACTAACGTCAGGATAGCTCGCCTTAGTGACCCTTGCCAGACACTAACGTCAGGATAGCTCGCCTTAGTGACCCTTGCTAGACACTAACGTCAGGATAGCTCGCCTTAGTGACCCTTGCCAGACACTAACGTCAGGATAGCTCGCCTTAGTGACCCTTGCCAGACACTAACGTCAGGATAGCTCGCCTTAGTGACCCTTGCTAGACACTAACGTCAGGATAGCTCGCCTTAGTGACCCTTGCTAGACACTAACGTCAGGATAGCTCGCCTTAGTGACCCTTGCCAGACACTAACGTCAGGATAGCTCGCCTTAGTGACCCTTGCCAGACACTAACGTCAGGATAGCTCGCCTTAGTGACCCTTGCCAGACACTAACGTCAGGATAGGTCGCCTTAGTGACCCTTGCTAGACACTAACGTCAGGATAGCTCGCCTTAGTGACCCTTGCCAGACACTAACGTCAGGATAGCTCGCCTTAGTGACCCTTGCCAGACACTAACGTCAGGATAGCTCGCCTTAGTGACCCTTGCTAGACACTAACGTCAGGATAGCTCGCCTTAGTGACCCTTGCCAGACACTAACGTCAGGATAGCTCGCCTTAGTGACCCTTGCCAGACACTAACGTCAGGATAGCTCGCCTTAGTGACCCTTGCTAGACACTAACGTCAGGATAGCTCGCCTTAGTGACCCTTGCTAGACACTAACGTCAGGATAGCTCGCCTTAGTGACCCTTGCCAGACACTAACGTCAGGATAGCTCGCCTTAGTGACCCTTGCTAGACACTAACGTCAGGATAGCTCGCCTTAGTGACCCTTGCTAGACACTAACGTCAGGACAGCTCGCCTTAGTGACCCTTGCTAGACACTAACGTCAGGATAGCTCGCCTTAGTGACCCTTGCTAGACGCTAACGTCAGGATAGCTCGCCTTAGTGACCCTTGCCAGACACTAACGTCAGGATAGCTCGCCTTAGTGACCCTTGCCAGACACTAACGTCAGGATAGCTCGCCTTAGTGACCCTTGCTAGACACTAACGTCAGGATAGCTCGCCTTAGTGACCCTTGCCAGACACTAACGTCAGGATAGCTCGCCTTAGTGACCCTTGCCAGACACTAACGTCAGGATAGCTCGCCTTAGTGACCCTTGCCAGACACTAACGTCAGGATAGCTCGCCTTAGTGACCCTTGCCAGACACTAACGTCAGGATAGCTCGCCTTAGTGACCCTTGCCAGACACTAACGTCAGGATAGCTCGCCTTAGTGACCCTTGCTAGATACTAACATCAGGATCACCATCAAGTGTAAGACTGGGGAACAACTTGTCATGAACAATATTCCGCGCTATATCCTCATGGTGAAAGATGTTCTTACTCACGAAATCTTAATAACACCATTGCAAACATAGCATAGGACGGGTATGGGTTCTAATTCTACCCGTTCCATGGTTTAAAAATGTTCTTGGTTGCTTGATATACTCGTCAGTTATGGAAAACTATGTTGAGATACTATCTATCTCCAAAACACATAGAATCACAAAATAATGAGAACGAGGAAAAAGAGGCATTTCATCTTGTCCCCAGTAACCTTGAACCAGCACTAGTATTTACTTTCTCCAACATCCACATGAACGCTGCTGCCTCACTGCAGAGGTTGGCAGCGGCTCCCAACAACTTTCAGAGACTCACGAAATGTCTGTTTATTTTGCTGGATACCATCGACAGCTGCTCACACTTACAGAGGTGTACTTCTACACCATAAATCC